CAAGTTTATCACTTACCACCACTGCCAAATACAACCTACCAATGTCCCATAGAGAGATGCAAACCTTTTTTTTTTTAAAGATAAATAGATACAACAATGATACATTCCGAAATATTAAAAAGGTAAAATAGACTCTTTATATACGGTGTGACTCAAACATGTAACCTCCAGGTCAACATAATTATAATTAGTCACTAAACTTTGCCATCAATTTTAATTTGGTTCCTTAAACTTTCAGCTGTCTTAATTTTGTATCTTAATTATCAATTTCGTCTTAATTAAATCATTACATCAATTTTTATCATTAAATACACTGGAGATTTGTCCAATTTAATCTATTTTAGCGTTGATCTAACGGTGGAAATAGATAAAAGGATTTAATTGAGACAAAATTTATAATTGATGGACTAAACTGAGATAATTGAAAGTTTAGAGATCAAATTAAAACTTAAGGTAAAGTTCATGGATCACCTATGATTTTTACACTTTTCTTACTTACGGTAATAAGGTGGCTATATAAACCTACTAAGAATCCTAAAAGAGCGTAGCCAGTACTTTGAGACTTCTGTCATTTTGGATTTAGAAAATGTTAAATATACGCAGTCTTACCTCTATAAATAGAGAGACTATTTCCGTAATTCGAATCCATAACTTCTAGATCACAATAAAATAACCTTATTGTTGTGCCCCAAATCCTATCTATAATTATTCATTTGCATAATAAAAACAATTTTTATTTGTTCATCATGGTGTTAGAGCAATTTGATGTAGCCTTAGGGTTAAGAAAACCCACCACTCTCCATCTGCGTTACCATCCCATTATCAACTTTTTGTGGTCAATCTTTTGTCACATTTGATTGGAATAAGAACTTAGAAGTTGTGTTTGAGGACTTCAAAATTGAGCTCAGGCATTTTTGTCCAAAATAAGGCAAATTCAAGGTTTAAAGAGAGAATTACTCAGAGGTTTTTTCGCTCGGAAGAGACAATTTTAATGTTATGATCCTATAAATTTGATTTACAATCATGGCATAGCCAGAAAATAGAATCAATCTCACAATGTACAAAGCATCCATCTTAAGGCCAACCTACAAAATGCATAATGTATGAAGCATCAATCTCACAATGTATAAATCCATCAAGAATTTTATGCATGATCATCCAATTATATAATACGACACACATTTTTATATTGAAAAAATTTTAGTCACACCTCTTCTAATTTATCATATCTTTAAGATCATCCTATTTATTTTTTGAATCTTTATTGACATCCTCTGTTAGATTAAAGGTCTTAACTAGAATATAATTTTACAAAATTTCCCATAATATTTTAGGAAAAATTTCATCCACACCCCCTTTAAATAAATATATTTTCTATAAGACCCTCTCTATTTTATGAATTTTTTACGTATTAAAATTCAGGCCGCTTAAAACTCGATTTGAGTCGATTAAAAATGAATTTTAATCGACTCAAATTAAATTTTAATCAACTTGCATTGAATTTTAATCAGCTGAAATTTTGATACGTAAACAAATATAAATTTTAATCGACTCAAATTTTAATACATAAAAAATAAAATTTAATCAACTTGAATTGAATTTTAATTGATACGAATTTTAATAAGTAAAAAAATATAAATTTCAATCAACTCGAATCGAATTTTAATTAGTGCTACCAGCTCAGGTGGAGCTCAAAACGGCTCAAATTTTAATGAGTAAAAAAATAAAATTTAATCAGATTGAATTAAATTTTAATCAGCTCAAAATTTAATGTGTAGAAGAACAAATTTTAATCAGCTTGAATTTTAATATATAAAAAAATAAATTTTAATCAGCTCGAATTTAATCAAACTTTATGTAGAAATATTGTTTGGTGTTTTATGTAATGCAATTTTGGTATTTTAGATGATTTTTTTGGTTAGAAATAGTAGTTTAACTGTAGAGGATATCAGTGATGTTTAAATATAAAGTAGAAGAAGTGTCATTTATGTTTTGAATAATAGAATAGGTGTCAATGATGTTATGTGAAATTTTAGTTTACGGATCATGAGATTGCAGATACTGATGCGATTTAAGGTGACAATTTTTGATATGCTACAAAATTAATAAGGTTGGATTGATCATTTCTAGATATAAACTCATAAATAATACGGCACATTAATACGAATAATAAAGAAATCAGGTAGTGTCAAACATAAATAACACGAAGTGACAAAATTAACATGTTTAACAAGTATTGTAAGAATAACAAGTCAATTTTTTGTTATTTTTTATCAAGTATTGACATAATTCTTGTACAAAAAAAAATGTTAATAAATATTATTATTAATTGTTATGAAGTTAATTTTTTAGTTTATTGAAAAATTAGGATTAATTACAAAATACACCCTCCAAATATAGATCATGTTGCAATCAGCTCCTTGTGGTTTTAATTTAAACAATTTGTCCTCTTAAAGTTTTGGCAAGATTAAATCGACTCACAAAGTGGATGGGATATATAAAATTCCTAAAATAACCCCAACCTTTAATATATTCTCTTTCTTCTCTTCCAACCCAGTACATTAAAACACAAGCCAAACTCTTCTCTAAATCTGGCGGCCCTCAACCCCGGCGCCAAACAAAAAAACAGCCCCTTCCCTTACTTCGGTCGTACCCCAACCCTCGTAGCTAACTCCAGCAGCCCCTCATCTCCATCCCCAATGCCGGTAGTAGGCACCCCCTCGCCAATCATTCCCAACCTTCATTGCCGCTGCCACTGTAGCACAACTACCATCAATTAAGCTTCGATTCCCCGTATTCAGCACACAACCTTTAGTAGATCTCTGATTCCACCCAATCCACTCCGATTCGATCAAAATTCCAATAAAGATGTGAACTAACTCTGATTCAACCATGACTTGGAGCAAAGCTCCAGCGGAAGGGAGAAAAGTGCAAATGTAACGGTCCACATACTTTTTTCGTTTGGTAATTGCTTGTCGCAGATGGTCACCTCTGCTGGGAGGGGTGGGGTTGTTTGCTGTGAAGGGGATAGGCTAGACAATTGGGCGACGGTGGTTAGGTTCGATGGAGTGGGTGGAAGGGGGCGAAGGTCAGGGAGGGAGATGGGTTATTGAAGGGTTGTTGCCTATAGGGGATTTGAGGTGTAGGGATCTGGTACCCAACGGGCTTGTGGGAATAGGACAGTATAGGAGATGACATAATTTTTAATTTTTTTTTGTTACAAAATAAGGGATCAAAAGGGTAAATATGTCTTTTAATAGAATTTAAGCTCACGTGTCCAACTCCTGTCCATTTTTTACCGTAAGAGTTAACGGCAGTGGGTTAATTAATGTAATTATAAACTTGAGGGGGACAAATTGTTTAAATTGAAACCACAAGGAGTTGTTTGTAACATGACCTATACTTGGAGGGGGTATTTTGTAATTAACCCAAAAAATTATGAGCGTGTGTTCTGCACAAATTGATTTTATGCACCACCTGTCATGTAATTGATGCAATAAATAAATAAAGAGAGTTAACACAAGTAAAACACAATTTAGTGGTTTGGTCAAAATAAATTACTCTACTACGAAGGGTTATGATGGGTGTTGGATGCTCAAGTGTGAGTAATAGGCGAGAAACAAGATGTGAGAGATGTCCTCAATGTGTATACAGGACTTACAATTTATAAGTTCTACAATGACGTTGCTGACTCCTCGGCTCTAAGATGACGTGGCTCTCGGGGCTTTGGTAAGCCTGAGTCTCTTTTGGGCTGGATCCACTAAATTTTGTCTAAGCTGGGCCTACTATTTGAGTTGGGTTTGATCTTGGCCAGACCCATTATTTGAGTTGGGTCTCATCTGGACTGAGCCCATTATTTGAGTTGGGCTGTGGGCCGGGCTCACCAAGTTTGATTAAGACATAATAAAATTTTAAACTTACATCCTATCGTTAAAATTTTTAATCCACAGGTTACACGAATCGCCATGAACGCGATACGACAAAAAAATAAATAGTTTAGATCAATAAAATAAGTTTGACTAGAGTTAATTAATATTCGTACGAATTAGTAAAATGACACAAATATGTTCACTGACTGCCACCCATTTGCTGTCACAATTGAGAAAGGGAATTTTTTTTTCTACAAATAGTATACAGCTTGTAGAATGGATGCCCCGTCTCTCTCATCTGTGTTTATTTCTTCTCTAAATCAGTTTGTGACTAGGAATGACATTGGATCCGAGCGGTACATCGGTAGCCATTTCAAAAATATGTATCCACTCTCGATACACTCTTATTAGCGGAAAAAATTTTAATCCCCGTTTCTTTCTTTTGGGTAAATTTTGATTTCCATCCCTATCCCTATATCCCTACTACCGTCTCCAACCATAACAATTAATTTCTATGATTTTAAGAAAAAAATTAAAAAAAATCATAAAACGTCATAATGGATTTGCAAAAGAATAAAAACTCTTTATATTACAAATAGATCAAACATAAAAACTCACAAAAATAATATGTACAACAAATGTTTGTTTCAGTTATATATATTACGGGTTTAGTAGGGCGGAGGTGGGGCGTGAATGAGTTTCAGTCAATCCCCATATCTATCTCCACACAGGTTTATATGAGTATCTTTGTATGTGTCCATCATCTAAAACATATAATCCATCTTCAGTTCAAACATGACAGCTTTAAACAAATACCTATTTTTCCTCGGTTCGGCATCCTTATGTACGACACCATTACCTGGTGGGTAAACCTGAATCAGAAGATTAAGAAGGTGGTATTTGATCAAAACAAGAAATCTCTGCACATTGCCGATGCAAGAAGAGATTGCCCATGACTGAGGAAAAAGGATTGCCAAAAACAGAGATCAACTCATCAAACGCTAGAAAAACCTTAAACCTCAAGCAATTTATCATATTCCTCGATCAAAAGAAAACCCAAAAGAAACCTCTTAGACATTCTCTCATATAAATGGCATGCATATCAGAGGCATTTTTCATATCATCCCATTACATCAATCAAACCATCTTTAAATATTCAATAGACCCTTTTAGAAGAACAACAAAAAAAGGCTATATCAATGGCGGCAACCAAGGCTAGAGCTTCAGCTTCAGCTACCCAAACTCCTCCTCCTGTCGATGATGAATTTGAACCTTTCAGCAGGTGGCACCGTGAGGAAAAAAGCGACACTCTTGAGGTCCATGTACCTGGTAACTACTATATATCTCTATCTCTAATGGTTAAAGAGTATGTTCATCTGTTGTTTAAGAGAAACATGTCAACCCTAGGTAGCTCGAGATAGGTTAAATATGTAAATCACACGTCATGAGTTTAAAATTTAATAATTGTTTTGAGTTAGATCATATGGGATATATCATGCATTGAGCCCTCATAAATTTTTTAGTCATGTGCCATTTGCGTGAATGACCTATTTTATCGGATTTGAGAGAAAATTAGTCGAATGACACGTAAACTGATTCAAAAACTGCTTATTCAAAAAAAAAAAAAAAAAAAAAAAGAGAAACATATCATCTGGGTTGAATTAGTCACCCTTCCTTTTGTATTTTGAAATTTATTAATTTTGTGCACTTTTGGATTCTTTTAGAATATTAAATTATCTCTGGAATCGAGTCGTGTTTTGTATTAGATTCAAGTGGTGTCAATTCAAATCCGTGTCATGTATTAATAAACTCTTTAGTAACTACTTTGATTAATTTTTTTTTTTTTTGTGAAATTTGATCCTATCTCAACTTCTTTATTAGTTGTATTGAATTTGGATCGAAGTTGTTAATAAAATCAAACCAAGTAAATGATTCTCTACTTCTACAAAAGATTTACATAAATACCAAATCGAGAAATGAAAGCTTAACAATCGATATTTTCGTATGTCAATAACCGGACATCTTATTAAAATTGAGTTATTTATGTTTGACACTAATTTAACTTATTTATTATTTTTATTAATAGGTTTACGTTATTTTAAACATGAAGTTAGAGAATTAGTTAAATAATAAATTGTTAATTTCATGACTTCTTCATGTCGCGCACAAAATAGCCTCCATTAATTAAAGGTAAAATTTTATTTTGTCCGTAAAAGATACAAAAATTTTCAGTTTGTTTTTAAATGATTAATTTTTTTACATTACCCCTCATATAAATAAAAACGTTGTAATGTGACCTATCATCTTATTTTCATTTGGTCATCCATTTGTTTTGTGATTCCAATCAATCAGGAATCACAACACAAATGAATGACCAAATAAAAATAAGACGGTAGATTATGTAATAATATTTTTATTTCTTTCAGGTGATAATGTGAAAAAGTTAATCATTTGGGGAGTAAACTAAAATTTTGTATGTCTTTCAGGGGCAAAATGGGATTTACTCTGAATTAAATTTGTTAAAATCCGGATAAAATGTTTAATTCTTTTTTTTTTTTTAGTGACTTGAAAATTTGGTTAATAATTCATATTCTTTTTTTCTCTCTCTTCTCCCCTTGTTCAAGAATTCAAAAAAGAAGAACTGAGAGTACAACTCACCAGTCCGGGAATGATAAAAATCTCCGGCGAACGTCAGGTGGATGCGACAAAACGGAGCCGTTTCTACAAGGAAGTCCGAGTTCCAAAGGACTGCAATGCTAATGGAATTCATGCAAAGTTCATCAGTGGACGTCTACATGTCATAATGCCCAAAAAAACAATTGAAGAAAATCAACCTGTAACAACCCAACAGCTCCAACCTGACAAATCTCCAGTACCGGAGACCGGTGAAGATCAAGCCACTATGAAAGCTGCTACCTCGCCAGAAAGTGGGAAAGCCAAGGAGAAGATGAACATGCCACCATCTCAGGATGAGGCACCAAGAGACGGGAATTCATTCACAAAATCTGATATTCAGCAGGAACAGTCTGGCACGAGGTTGAAGAAATTTAACAAGGTGGCGGTGAGCATTGCTGCGATGGTGGCGGCGGCGGTGGTGATCGGTGCTTATGTTAAGTATATGTACAAATCTTTGGATGACATGTTGATGTAAAATGGGGTGAATCTTAATAACCTCAAAGTCATGTGCTTGTATAAATTTATTTTTTATTATTTAAAATATAAAATTATTAATTAAGGTAGCGATTGGTAAATGCGTGTTTTCGTTTTTTTTTTTTTTGTTTTCGTTTTATGGCTAAAAAAAAAAATAAAAACATGTTTGGTGAATATTTTTATTTTTTTTAATTGCTCTATTTTTAAAAAAAATCCTAAAATATAAAAACATCCAAAAGAATGTTTTTGAAAACATCAAAATAAAAAACTCGCATGAGTCATTTAATGAGATTCGGACTTCAATCCTCCTTAACAACAAAATATAAATTTTTTTCTTGAGTATATAAAGGGTCATCCCTTTTCACCTCTCATATCTCTGTTCTCTCTCTGCTAAAGATGAAGTTGAAGCCACACGTAGACGAAGAGAAGCCAAAGTAGAAGGATCAGACGTCATCTCCCCTCTTTCCTTTTGTCGCTCTCACTCTCTTTCTCTCTTAACCTTCTCTATTTTGGTGGTGGTGATGAATTTTAGAGAATAGTGCTGGGTTTCGCTAGTGGTGGTGGAATTGGTTGGTGGTGGTGGGTTGGATGGTTGTGGATTTCGGGGATAGGGGTGGGATTGGGTGGTTATGGGTTTCAGGGTTGGGTGGCTGTGGGTTTCGGGGATGGGGGTGGGTTGGGTGGCCGTGGGTTTCAAGTGATGGGGAGGGGTTGGGTGGTTGTGGGTTTCAGCCGATTAGGGTGGATTTGGGTGGTTGGTTTTCGAGGATTAGGGGTGGGGTTGGGTGGTTGGTTTTCGGTGGTTGTGGGTTGCTGGGTGGCTGGTTTTTGGTGATGGTGGGTGGCTAGTGATTGGCTGTTGGTGGTTGGTGGAGGTATTGGGTGATGAATATTTGAGGTAATACTAAACATATTTTTTATTTTTATTTTTATTTTTATAATTTTTTAAATATAAATGCCTACTAAAAATGTTTTATATTTTTAATTTTTATCACAACAAAAACAAAAATTTGTTTTTTTTTTAATAAAAAAAACATAAAAACAAAAAGGTTACCAAACGCACCCTAAGTTTTTATATTCAAGTTTTTGTTATCATAATTAGGGGTGTTCAAATTTTTAATTACCTGTAATTTTCGACCTTACCCGACCCTATTGATCGGTTAGCTGAAAAAATTATGTAGGAATACCGAAAATTTTTTAGTCTTATGATTAAATCGGGTAAGAATGCGGAATATCTATCAAATTTTCATATTCCTAACACCTCGTCGCCTCCTCATCTCTCTCGCCTCTTTTGGCATCTCGCCCTCTATTTTAACAATTATGATGGATTGATATTTATAACTTAGGCTTTCTTGTGTTTTATGGTAATTATTTTAGGTTTTAGTGTTGTTGGTTTATTGTATAGTTAAATTGATGTAGGTTATTTAATTGAATTGTTAAAATGATTCAAAAATTAATAACTACAAAACGTGTTCACTCAATTTCCTACCGGATTAATTTGGAGGAAGTCAGGTAGGAACACTACATTTGATCAAGTAGGGTAGGTTAAGAAAAAATTCTTTCGTAAAGTATCAGGCAGAAAGATGGAAGACTATATTTCCTACCTGTAGGGTAAGGTAAACACCCTAATCATAATAGAACTTGATGGTAAGAGAGAGAGAGAGAGATTGAAAAATTATGATGATAAATTTGAATTTGACCTTTTTTTGTAGATTATAGCTTGATTTTTAGTTGCTTTAGTTTTACTATTAGTATTTTTCTTTTTGTTTTCAAAAAATTAAATTTTTAAGACATTTTAATTTCATGGGCTGAATTAATAGACTCAATCAATTCAAGTTGAAATATTTTGTTTGAACTTAAATTTAAGTTTTTTTAGGGCCAATTATTTTGGATTTAGATTGTTTGTTTGGGCTATTACTACATACCTAAAATTTATAGGATCTTCCTAAAAATGGGGCCTAAAACCTAGACTTTAGTGGCCTACTGATTGGGTCAGACCCAATAAACAAGAATGGTCGTGTTTATGTAAATAATATCAAAGATTAAATCTATGTACAATCAATTTCTCCTACCTATTACAACTTAATGATTAAATTCCCAAGTATAGATTATTGCAAAATAATAAAATCTGGAAGGCCGAGGTTGAACTATATGAAAATTGATGAATAACTCAGAACACAAAGAAAATTAAAATAAATTAGATCTAAGTAACCTTGCTCTGTTAGGCAAATGGTGGTCGATGAAGCTCCAACTGTGTTACTTTAGTTTGTTGTTATTTTTTGAACTACCTTTATTTTATTTTGTACCCTTAATTATAAAATTTTTCATATTTTACTTTAAAATATCAATTTTATTTCATATCACTCTAATATATAACAATTGTCAATTTTTTGACTGTAAATATGCATGTGAATGTTCTGTATTATCAATAACAACTGCTTATTACATATATGCATGTTAAAAATCAAGAAAAATATTCATACCTAAAATTTATAGGGTCTTCCTAAAAATGGGGCCTAAAACCCAGACTTTAGTGGCCTACTGATTAGGCTAGACCCAATAAACAAGAATGATCGTGTTTATGTAAATAATATCAAAGATTAAATCTATGTACAATCAATTTCTCCTACCTATTACAACTTAAAGATTAAATTCCCAAGTATAGATTGTTGCAAAATAATATAATCTCGGAAGGCCGAGGTTGAACTATATGGAAATTGATGAATAACCCATAACACAAAGAAAATTAAAATAAATTAGGTCTAAATAACCTTGCTCGTCAGGCAGTTTGTTGTTATCTTTTGAACTATTACCTTTATTTTATTTTGTACCCTTAATTATAAAATTTTTCATATTTTATTTTAAAAATCAATTTTATTTCATATCACTCAAATAGGTAAAGACTATCATTTTTTTTATTGTAAATGTGCATGTGAATGTTCTCTACTGTCAATAACAACTGTCTATTACATATGTGCATGTTAAAAATCAAGAAAAATATTCATCCATGACTTTGTCATTCTTAAGCTCCAAATTTTCTTCCTCTGGCCAACTTTTTTTTTCTTTCCACCAACCATTTGGTTGCAAAAAAAGTAAAACAAAGTAGTACTAGGCACTTGGCGGGAAACTCCTTGGAGTTTCCTTCACTCTCTTGACAGATTTTTTAGTTTGTCGTTATCTACTGAAGTAATATGAAATAAAATTGATATTTTAGGGTGTAATGTGAGAAATTTTATAATTGAGGGTACAAAATAAAATAAAGATAATAGTTCAGGGGACAAAATGTAATTTAGTCTTTATTTTTCTCAATTACCAGCAGCCAACAAAAAAAGTGCCATATTTTTTTTTCATTTATTTGGGGAATTGTGAGTTATTTTTTGGTTGGTTGGTAAATTACAAATTATTTCTTCATTGCATGAATCACTGTGAATTTGAATTTGTGGATAAGCCAATATGAATATGTGCTTCTTTGTGAATTTGGTTTGTTATTTATATTTATAAACCCTGTCCAAAAAAGATTTAAAAAAAAAACAATGTTTATTTTGTATTGGCTTTGTAGATAACATCATTCCAAACACAAACACAAAAGGAGAGATACATTCATGTAAGAAACCAATCAATGAGCAGAAAATCAACTTTATTTCATCTTATACTTGAGAGAAGATGATATTAGAATAACAACCCATTAAACTAACGATTTAGTACACGAGTCTCCCGTTGTTGCGGGGTCTAAAAAGATTAAATATACACAGTCTTATCTCGTGTGAATCGAGACTGTTATCTATCTCGAACTTGTGATGACTCGATGACAAAAAATAACATAACGAAGGAAAACAACCACCATGAATGACCTAGTAGTTGCACAAAGTAACAAACCCCATGATAACATTTTTAATGCCTCAAAACTAGACCCCAAAAGACAGCAGAACTGCAGCTACCACCACCATGAAAGAGTGAAACATATTGACAATGATTCCATTTGCCAAATTCGAGTTAAGGCATGGCTTGAGAAGGGCCATAGGTCATAGAAGGATAAACACTTGGAGCTGGTGCCATAGAATTCACAGTGATGGCCAGTTTTTGACCGGCAAGGGCACAGTGCTGAGCAACACCACAGATGTACCATTTCCGGCCCGGCGTTGCGAGCACAATCGTGTCGTTTCCAGTGGTTAGAGCTTCCTTCAATGGTGGCTTTGTGCAGTACTGAAAGCCAGTTCCATTGACCTTGAAGACATTATGAACTCCCACTGGATATTGGAAAACTGCATATTTCATTGAAACAAAGCATGTAAGTAACTACTTAGATTTAATGCACTAATGCCATGCAACAATGCAGCATTGACAAATCAATCCCAATCTAATCTGAAATATTCAATGTTTTGTTAGATATTTTCAATATTCGTGTTAAAAAAGTTCGAACTCGGTTTTAATTTAAATCCTTGGGTTTCTAGGACCAACTCGGATGGAACTTGAACTCAGTATGAGTTGTAAATTCCGAGAATAACCCTAAATTTAATCGAACATTCAAGCCAAAAAATGAACCAAAGGGTTGCCCATTTTGACAATTTTGGATTCAGTTGAACTCAACTCGACAGTGATTTATAGAGGGCTGAGGCACCAAATTTTGTTATGCCTCATCTCCTATAAGATATATCTAATCAATAATATTGTACCGATTTAATGCAATAAAAATCATAAATAGACATATTTATGTAGTCATAGGAACAAAAATGAACACCAAACCAACCACACATATAACATAAGATCATGATCAAAGTAGAGATGTAGCTAGCATACTTAGTTTGTCTCCAACCATAAAATTTTTTCCATTGCCCACGCTTGATAATCGAAATTTTGGTCCACCCCGCTTCATCTCCCACAATAAAGTCCGTGGCAAAGGCGACCGCCGGCAAAATCACGGTGAGAATGATGAAGACAGACCTTGAAGCCATTAGAATGGTAGCCAAAAGAAGAGATTGAAAAGAAGTTTGTGTGTGCAAGCAAGTGTTGAAGAAATAGTTGCAGACTCTTGCAGTGCATGGAAGAGCAAAGAGAGATGTTGTATTTATAGTTAGTTTCCGATGTTGTGTGGAATAAAATTAAGGTCGGCTTGGGTATATAGAACCAGAAAGGCCTTGCCTTAATGACCGGCCATGGACTGTAAAATGAATGAAAAGGTCTTATTTTATGGTGTGGTTAGAGGAAAGAATGGTTCAACTGTCTTCTCTCCTGTCGCCTGGTGGAATTACCAACGCAGTTGAACTACCAAATACCAATATAATGCCCATTATTGTTAACTAACTTTGGGCTAATGTCACTTTGCACACTAAAAAGATACTTGGATTCTTAATTTGCATTCTCACATATTAAAAATCTTAATTTACACTCTCGATGTTAGGAATTTGTAGCAATGTGGATTTGACTTAGATTGTCAATCAATTATTCGTTATAAATTGAAATACGTGAGGTGCAAGTGCTGTGGGAATGAGAATGAAATGTATGTTCATTGTTGTAGATATTCATTTGTGATCAATTTTTACATTATTTTGTATATCGAAAATAGAGTTTTAAATCATTAATCAGATAGAGGCTAACATATTCATTATGTGCAGCTCACATGAGTCCATGCTCGAAACACGTGCAACTCATGTGCTTTAATTTATGACAAAAAATTGAACTGCAATCTGAGTCCGATTCATAACGCTATCAATTTATAACATTGAGGGATGCAAATTGAGATTTTTAATATTGAGGGTGAAAATTAAAAGTCGAAACATCTTTCGGAATGCAAAGTGATATTAGCCTAATAACTTTTGATATCACTCTTTGTAACCCTTTTTTTTTTAGGTATTTACTGTAACATCTGTTTTATTTTTTTGGGTACTTCTACCCTAAAATGCATATAGATCGCTTTAAAAAATTAGTAATCAAATCAATTACTTTTGTGGCAAATTTGTTTTTCATACTTTAAGAGCACTTGCATTGCAAATGTTACCAAATGTTACATTAGTATTGATCTCTAATGCCAAACTTATACAATTATCAGTATAGGTTTATATATATTTATCTTATTTACTAATAGTCATATTAATTATAACAAAATTGGTTATATGTGACCAAAGATTTACTACTCATCTCTTCCGATTAGAAAAATACTACTCAACAATAAGTTATAAGTCAAGTACTTTCAAATTAAAATGTAGATTACTTTAAAGTGAATTTTACTTTCTAAATTATATATATATATATATATATATATATATATATATATATATATATATATATATATATATATATATATATATATATATTATTTTTTTTTTTTTTTGATTCAACGGTCAAGATTATCCGGAACCAATTTACGCATATTTATTAATTTCCTCTTCGGTCCGGTCAAAGACAGGTTTTATTCATCTTGAGACTAGGGTATTAATGAGAGATTTAATCTCTCATGACCTGATCCCAAGAGATTATCAAAACTCAATTCGAGGCATTCTATACATTGAAATGCCCAAAAACAGAGGCTGTGGTGGTGTTGTCGGCTCTTGGTGCTTATGGTGTGTGTATGTATAGGTGTTTCTAGATAATTCGTCTTTTGATTTGCATATTTGCTGGAAAATGGCATAGATATTGAAATTATGAGCAAATTCAAAATGTAAGCCATCAATGTTATACACTATGATTGACTAATGAAATGCACTTTTGGATATATGGTTGTTTGTTTTCCCTTTAATTAAAATTTATTTTTGATAAATTATATATTTTTTTAATCGTGTTATACATTTATTTGAATCAAAGATCATCGGGTTATCTCCCAGTAAACTACATATTTAGAAGAACAATAAATACGGAAATTTTACTTATATTATTTAAATTGTTAATAAAAATGATCACGTGTGAGGTACGTGAGTATAGGTAGAAACATTTGGTGAAAGAGAAAATTTGCATACCCACCACTTGGTGAAGGGACGAAAGCTTGACGTAGGTCTATGTTACAGTAAGAAAGAAAGCACGTTAAGGTGACCACATTTTACCACATTAGAAGAGATCCTCTCATCGTCAACGTGATTTGTACAAAGTTACATTATTTGAGATTTACTTTTCGGTAAATTATTTGAGGTGCATAGCATTATTCAAGTTTTTCTATTGTTTCCATCGATCTAAGACTCTTGTCACCATTTAGATGCAATGATATTTTTATATTGAAAAATGTTATTTGGATTTAATTTGTTGATTTAATTACTCTCTACCATTTGATTGATAGTGAATTCCACTATTAGTTTGAAACTGCTATCAATTCAATGATTATAATGTATTGGATTAACAAATAAGGTCAATAAATAATGTTCAAATAGCATTTCCTTTTTTATTTTTTTTAGGCTACATACTGAATTTGCAAAATTTGAGGACACAAGAGATAAAAAGGAAAGGCTAAAATATACTAGCGTCCCTAAACTATAAGTTTAGTCACACTATAGTCCCCTAACTTCCAATTAAATAATTTGGTCCCCAAGTTTATAAATTTATTAGGAATAACCTTTGCCAGAAAGTGAAGTACAATGTGAATAATTTTGAAAGAGATATTAGTGACCGTTTAATGAATTTATTTGAGACCATCTGATAAATATTGAAAAATTCTTGTTGCTAATTGTTGTTTAAATTGGCAATGAAACCGATCTTGTACTAGGCATGTGAATATAGTTGACAACCACCCACTTATCACTTACCACTACGGCCAACTACAACCCACCACTGTCCCGAGAGAGAGATGCAGAACTTTTTTTTTTTTTTTGTTAAAAAAAAAGAAAGATAAATAGATACAACAATGATATATTCCGGAATATTAAAAAAGTAAATAGACTCTTTTTGTTCAATGTGACTCAAACAGCTTCCATGCCACAATTATAATTAGTCCCTAAACTTTGACATTGGTTTTAATTTGGCTTCTTTGAACTTTCAATTGTCTTAATTTTGTGTCTTAACTATCAATTTCGTCTTACTTAAGTCATTCCATCAATTTTCATTATTAGACCAACTGGAGATTAGTTCAATCTAATCTATTTTAGCATTGATCTAATGGTGGGAATAGACAAAATGATTTAATTGAGACAAAATTTATAATTGAGAGACTAAACTAAGACTATTGAAAGTTTAGGGACCAAATTGAAACCGAAGGTAAAAGCTCACGGATCGCCTATGATTTTTACACTCCTCTTATTTATGGTAATAAGGTGACTATAAAAACCTGTTAAGAATCTTAAAAGAAGATACCCAATACACAAGGCTTCTGAAATAAGAGAAAGTGTTTCCGAGACTCAAACCCGTAACCTCTACGTCACAATAGAGCAACTCTATTGTTGTACCAAGAATCTTATCTATAATTATTCATTTTCATAATTAAAACAAAATTTTATATGTTCTTCATGGTGTTAGAGCAGTTTGATCTAGCCTTTGGGTTAAGAAAACCCACCATTCTCCATCTTCGTTACCATCCCATTATCGACTTTTTGCTTGTCAATCTTTTGTCATATTTGATTGGAATAAGAATTTAGAAGTTGTGTTTGAGGACTTCTAAATTGAGCTCAAGCATTTTTGTCTAAAATAAGGCAAATTCAAGGTTTAAAGAGAGAATTACTCCTAAATTTTTTCGCTCAAAAGAGACGATTTTAATGTTGTGATCCTATAAATTCGATTTACAATCGTGGCATAGCCAGAAAATAGAATCAATCTCACAATGTATAAAGCATCCATCTTAAGGCAAACCTACAAAATGCATAATGTATGAAGCATCAAGAATTTTATGTATGATCATCCAATTATATAATACAACACACATTTTTATATTGAGAAAATTTCAATTACACCTCTTATAGTTTATCATATCTTTAAGGACACATCATTTATTTTTTGAATTTTTATTGACACCCCCTGTTAGATTATAGGTCTAAATATATTTTAAGAAAAATATCATCCACATCCCCTCTAAATAAACATATCTTCAATGAGACCTTCTCTATTTTATGAATTTTTTTACGTATTAAAATTTGGGCCGATTAAAAATGAATTTTAATCGACTCGAATCAAATTTTAATCAACTTGTATTGAATTTTAATCGGTATGAATTTTGATACATAAAAAAATAAAAAATTTAATCTACTCAAATTTTAATACATAAAAAAAAATTAATCAACTTGAATTAAATTTTAATTGACACGAATTTTAATAAGTAAAAAAATATAAATTTCAATCAACTCGAATCGAATTTTAATCGGCGCTAACAATTCAGTTGGAGTTCAAAATAGCTCGAATTTTAATACGTAAAAAAATAAAATTTAATCAGATCGAATTTTAATGTGTAGAAGAACGATTTTTAATTACCTTGAGTTTTAATATGTAAAACAAATAAATTTTAATAATCTCGAATTTAATCAAATTTTATGTATAAAGATTGTTTGAGATTTTATGTAGGGCGATTTTGATATTTTAGATGAATTTTTTTATTGGAAATAGTGGTTTAACGGTAAAAGATGTCATTGATGTTTAAATATAATTTAGAAGGGGTGTCAGTGATATTTTGAATAATAGAACGGATGTTAATGATATTATGTGAAATTTTAGTTTACGGATGATAAGATTGCAGATACTGATGTTGTTCAGGCTGACAATTTTTAATACAATACAAAATTAATAGGATTGGATTTGATCATTTCTCGATATGAACTTATAAATAACACGACACATTAATACGAATAATAAAAAATTAGGTTAATGTCAAACATAAATAACACAAAAGTGACAAAATTAACACGTTTAACAAGTTTTGTAAGAATAACATGTCAGTTTTTTGTTATTTTTTATCAAATATGGCATAATCCTTGTACAAAAAAAAATGCTAATAAAAATTATTATTAATTTTATTAAGTTAATTTTTTAGTTTATAGAAAAAATTTGA